ATGATGATGGTGTAGTGTTTGTGACACTGTCTCTATGATGGGTAGTGTGTAGTTGTGGTTGCATTGGATTTATGATGGTGGTGTAGTGTTTGTGACACTGTCTCTATGATGGGTAGTGTGTAGATGTGGTTGCATTGGATGTATGATGGTGGTGTAGTGTTTGTGACACTGTCTCTATGATGGTTATGTGTAGTTGTGGTTGCATTGGATTTATGATGATGGTGTAGTGTTTGTGACACTGTCTCTATGATGGGTAGTGTGTAGTTGTGGTTGCATTGGATGTATGATGGTGGTGTAGTGTTTGTGACACTGTCTCTATGATGGTTATGTGTAGTTGTGGTTGCATTGGATTTATGATGATGGTGTAGTGTTTGTGACACTGTATGATGGGTAGTGTGTAGTTGTGGTTGCATTGGATGTATGATGGTGGTGTAGTGTTTGTGACACTGTCTCTATGATGGGTAGTGTGTAGATGTGGTTGCATTGGATGTATGATGGTGGTGTAGTGTTTGTGACACTGTCTCTATGATGGGTAGTGTGTAGATGTGGTTGCATTAGATGTATGATGGTGGTGTAGTGGTTGTAGCACCTTGGTCCATGACGGTAGTCCAGTGGTTGTTCACTGTGCCCATGAGCAAGTAGGAACAGAATTTCAAGTCAACTAAGAATTGAATAAAAAAAACGAGGTCAAATGTCTTTGTATTCAATCAGGCTATCGATAGATAGCTTCTTAAAACCATGTGATGATAATTATGTTAAGCATTTTATTTCTCTTCCTTCTTGCCATAATGCTCATAGTGTATTGTTTTTGTTTCCAGGGTGTTTGTGATGAAATGACGTATCAAGAGATTCAGGATAAATATCCAGAAGAGTTTGCATTACGAGACCAGGACAAATATCATTACAGATATCCCAAAGGAGAGGTAATTATCTTGCTACTGTTTTCTATACCTTAGAAATAAGTTAGATTACCAGACACATGAAATCAAACCTGGTTGTGAATATTTACTCAGCCCCTTGCATCTTTTCTCAGTAGATCTATGAAACTCTTGAAAATTTCCACTGTTGAAACCACTAATGTAGATGTTTATGAATTTTTTGAGAATCATTGGTCTATCCTGACCTGTGTTGTATACTTAAGTTTAGGCATGTTATCAAGAGTGTTAGTACTAAAGGTACACATGGAGTGTTGGACATAATGAAAACTGTTGCTAGATTACTTATTCTGTGAATTGTTATTTACAGTCATACCAAGACCTTGTAGCAAGATTAGAACCAGTCATAATGGTGAGTGTTCCACACATTACTAGTTCAACTTGATTGCCAGTATCATGAGTGATTTATGATGTCACCTGATAAACTACACTATACAGGTGTGGTGTATTATCCACTCACCTGATAAACTACACTATACAGGTGTGGTGTATTATCCACTCACCTGATAAACTACACTTAACA